ATGTGGATGCTGGGCATTACGATGTTTTGATAAACAATAGTATGCCTGAGAATCAAGAGGATATAATCTTACCAAAATCAAAACGTGGCCGTGCATCAAAAAATAGAAAAAGTAAAACATGTTCTGGCAGACGTGAATCAACAGCTCATAAAAATAAATTGAAGAAACCAAATTATAGTATAGATAAAGATTTACTCCAAGGGGTAAAAAAGTGTTTATCAAGCAATCAAAAGGATGGAGACCCAGAAAATGAAAAAGAAACAGAACAAGATAGTCTGACCAACACTTCACTCAGAGATGATGCAACTTCCTCAACCTCCTTAATTTGTGTATTGGGAATGCCAATACACAAATTAAATTTAAAAATTGGAGCTGTAATAATGTTGCTACGAAATCTTAACACAAAACGGGGATTATGTAATGGCACACGATTAATTGTTAAAGAACTCAAGCCCAATTTAATAATTGCTGAGGTTTTAATTGGATCAGCAGCACGTGAAATTGTATTCATTCCAAGGATTGACTTAGCACAGACGGACACAGATTTACCATTTGTTTTAAAAAGACGGCAATTTCCTTTAAAATTAGCGTTTGCTATTACAATAAACATAGCGCAAGGCCAGACATTGGATAAAGTTGGGATATACCTTCCAGCACCAGTATTCAGCCATGGACAATGGTATGTTGCAATATCAAGGGTTAAAAGGTTTGAAGACATACAAATTAAAATTATCCCTGGCAAAGAACAAGGAAGATTATTAAAACAATCAGATGAAGTCTTTACAAAGAATGTTGTTTACAAAAAAATACTGTAAATAAAATATTTTTGTAAAATTTTATTTGTTTTTCATTATTTTACTCTTTTAAAAAATCAGTTTATTTTCTATACAATTTCATTCTTAAAAAAATGTTCAGGTACTTACAAGGGCATATATTATGTACTACTGTACTTTCTAGGGACCGTTGTATTTAACTACAACGGGCTCTGTTGCTAGTCATTGTAATATGTTTGTTCTGCACCGAAGCAATAATTAGAGCAAATGAAACAAATGTTTACTACTTTCAGGGCCAATATATTTTATTTGTCTGATCAAGGTAAGACTCTTGTTTGTCTGATCGTGGGAAATTATTTGGTGAAAGTAAAACAAGTTGGAATTTAACAACGAAGTGTTTTTAACGTAAAATTCCGCAATATTTCGAGGATGTTAAAATCCAAATGTATAAATGTGAGTATGGCTGACATATTTCTGTGGTCACGGATTATTACTTTGTGATCAAGAGCTTTTATTTGATTTGAACTTCGAACTCACGCGAGTGTTAATTGTTGTCAACAATATACAATATATATTACCTCTTTCCAATATAGAACTCAGTAATCGGTTTGTAATGCATTTAAAAGTCAGAGCTTTCGACAGACACGTATGCACTTATTCTAAAAAAAACTCGTTAATCAACCAAACGCATTGCACGATAAACTAGGATCACGATAAAATGTGTGAAAGGTGTCTTGCGTACACGTAAAAAATAAGTAAACCGTAACACTTCGGTATACAAGAGCATTAACTTTAATATTCACTTTAAAATGTTAAAGCTAAGTCTAGTACAGTAACGACAAAGTCATTACTGCTGATGATGATGATGATGAAAGCTCATTCTGATGATGACAAATTTTGGTGATGATAAATTACGACCAAGTCTGATGATGACAGAGCCTGATGACGACAAAGCCTGATGATGATAAAGCCCGATGACAACAACACCCGAAAGTGACCAAATCTAATAATGACGAAGTCTGATGGCGACAAAGCCTGATGACGACAACGCCTGATGACGATAAATCCCGATGGCAACAACGCCTGAAAGTGACAAAATCTGATAATGACGAAGTCTGATGACGACAAAGTCTTATGGCGACCAAGTCGATTAAGTTTAGTGACGACGAACCTGGAAGAAAAATTCATCAAAATGTGTGCCTTTCTCCAACTTCTGTCCCCGTCCAAAACTCAACCGTGCCGTGTCTTGCCGTAGTCGTTTCGTGCCGTGTCTTGCCGTGGTCGTTTCGTGCCGTGTCTTGCTGTTGTCCTACCGTGTCTTTGCCGTGGTCGTGCCGGGTCAACACGGTCATCCAGCTCCGGTAAGGACTTTCTAGTTGTGTAACACAAGTCCTCGACGTAACCTAAGGTCACAAGGCTTCCTCACGTAATTATTGTCTATTCGGCAAGCTCGTGCGATAATCTACAATCTCGCATCTCCAGACGATGTCGTCGATTTCCTGTTTTTACCCTAAGGAAAGGAGGAAACCAATCACCACCTGTCTCAAGCTTGCCCTTCTAAGGATACGGAGAAAGTATTGTATTAGGTGCGATGTTGATAGTTTAGAATCGCTTTCTGCTATGCAAACAAGCAATTTACAACTGGAGAACGTTTTACTTTTAAATCATATACATGTTCACGTTAAAATGTAGAATGGTTATGTTTTTCCATTTGTACAGGGTAATTCAATACCGAGATCATAACAACAACTAACCCGGTCGTCAAACAAAACCCCTATCAAGTCGTGTTTACTGTTTGTTACTGGATAAAAACAGAATGTATCTGCCTTGATAAGAAATGTAAACGTTTCCTAAAAGTGTTTTCATCTCAACCCTACTCTATAATTAAAATTGTGTTTGTGTCTCGAAGATAAACATCCAACGTTCAACATCTATAAAGCTGTAAATCCGTTGGTTTAGCTGTAAAAACTAAACTTTTAAAAGCTTCATCATTCGTACTTCAATGTATAGTTAAAACAGTATATTGTAAAAATTCGACATATTTGGAAAGTATTTCTTCACTTGTAAAGTAAATTTTTATTGTAGAGGCTACTTCATACAATCCGAATACCTACTATGAGGACGTTAATCTATCGTTTAAATTTACTTTACCACATTCATGAACACCGACCCAATTCAAAATAATCAGTTAAAATTTAGTGAGGTAAATTAAATTTATCGACTTGATTATGACAAAAAATTGTTTTCATCTTATTGAATTTTGTTTTATTTAATACCATCAAACATCAAACATAAGGAAATATATAGGCTAAAATGATACTCATTTAAATAGCACCAAAAAGTTACAAATATAGCCTAGTTTAAATTTAATGAGTTAATTTGTTAGAGTGCAGTTCAATTTACACTTCATTAGCGAGGGTGGCCGGCCTATAATATACAGTAGCTATTGTTGGGAGAATTAATCTCTTATTCACCTTCCCCAGGTGCACAGACTAACAGATTATTTCGCCACTACAATGAAACTCCTCGTCCGCATCCACTAAAGTTTCTGCAGTTGAGGAAGTGAAGCCAGCGGCCTGAGACACTGTAGGAAGTCCGCAGCTTAGTTACATAACAACTGGTTCACTTCTCAAGCACGCGAGATACAGAGGGATACTCACTCGGAGCAACTTTCTTTCGCCTACACTAACGTAACCTGTATAGACACTCAGATGTTTAAAGGTCGAGTTGGTAAAGAAACCGACGTGAAATGGTTTCGTAGAGGAAACTGTTTGGTTTTATTATGGTTGCTAAGCGGCGTGGATGGTAAAAGTAATATCATAAAGTCATTAAGCTGTCCAGTATATTGCTAGTGTTGTAAAAGATCTTTTAGGGTGAATAAATGGTCAATCGCTGAGTGTAAAAATGGTTTTCCTTATTTCGTATTTTGTTGTAAAAACAGAGTGTTTCTTGAATATAGCAGACGCAATGGCGGAACTGGGCTCACGATATACAGACAGGTTAAATAGTGTTTCATTAATATTTTAGAAACATGATGTTAAGAAAAATATAAATTAAGTTATTTTTTAAGGTATAAATTTAAAATGGATACATTTAATTGGTTAAAACTAATTAATTGATTAAATTGGTTTAATCAAATATTAAAATATAAAACTATTAAACATTTTTTTTATATTTTGTAACTTACCATTAAAGGAATATTTTCAAGAAACAAAATTAACACTCGCATTTCAGCAAAAACAGAGGCTGTAAAAGTGATGGTTATTTTATACCAGAAACAAAACAGAAATTGGCTAAATATCATCTAATCTGTGTATATAATTTTAAATGTTATCAATATTTTTATTTGTTTACATTCTAATAATGTTGAAAAAAAATATCGTTTATAATTGCCCATAATACAAATTGAAAGTTCAATTTTAGCTGTAAAAAATACATATTTTTGATTGCCTAAAACCATTGAGTATACACTAACTGAATCCATATATTTTCTTAATTCTACGTGAACATTTTTATCTTGGAATTTTTCCAACATATCTTTATTAAACTACAACATTTTCATCTTAACTAGTTAATTTTAAGGTGAAATAAGCCTAAATTCTGAGAAAATTACCTCTGTCTGATTTTAAATTTCTAAATGGTAGTCATACAAAAAAATACACAAAATAATGGCTGATTTTGTGAAAGAATCATGAGAACACTAAACCAGTATTTAAAATTTCCTATCAAACATCACCAAGTTCAAAAAAATTGAATAACAGAATAGGCTAATACATTAGATGAAATGTTACGATTTATTAAATGCATAGATAGGAGCACTCTGACTGTTTCACTTAAAGTATTTAGGTTGGTTGAAAATAAAAATATACAACCCAATGTTCTTGTCTCAAATGATAATGATGATCAATCTACAATAGGAAAATTCAGGATGGGTCCCATGAGCCGGTCAACTGTCCCCAACCTACCTAGGTATCTATTATCATAGACAAAAAGAATTAAACATAGACTGAAACCTGTGCTGCGGTTACCATAGGTTCTAGCACACACCGCTGGGAGCGCCGTGTAGGTACGTAGCACGTACGTAACTACATGGCGCTCCCAGCAGTGTGCGCCAGAACCTATGGTAACCTCAGCATGGCTGACGGTCTATATTTTATTCTTTTTGTCTACGCTATTATCTACCTTCCTCCAATTAAAGCCTTCCACTAATTGTTTTAATGTTTTCAGTTTCCACAATGGAGATCCTACTCAGGACTGTAGGAGCCTTGGAGATAATACTCTGCTGGCTCACAGCTCCCTACTACTTCCTACTACGATTCACCAAGAAAAAGTATATACCTCCTATACAAAACCCGATAATACTGCACAGTGCATCTGAGCTGGCCAGGAAAATCAGGATGGAAGAGGTAATGATAAAAGATATTTTTAGGATAGAAGATGAAGACACAATCTTTAATATCACCTGAAGGTCAACAATGATGGTCAAGATAATATGTACATACTTCATAATACCTTGTGTAGAACCCATAATGCAGTACCATGCCAATTGTGTGAGTCGGTGGCTCCGTTTTTATCTCAAGATTTTCCTCTTAAACAAACATATTATGGCTTGTGCCTTATATAAATATACCAACACAAAATAAGTTAGGTAATTAAAAGAAGAGATTATAACATTGAAACACTTTTGTATTAAGAAAGAACTACAATAAAATCAAATATAAAGTTTACAAACAGTCAGCTGATCATATTATAATTTTAACATTCAAAGTATAGTTGAGACAGTAATTAGCAGATTCAAATTAATGGCAAAACCATGTAGCCACATACTCCCCTCCCAGTGTCAACGAGGAACGTAACGATGCGGGGGGTGAACACTACGACCTGATCTTGTAAAAATCAGTGTTTTTTTAAGGTCAACATCTTCATTTCTGTCTTTGGTCTTGTCTACTTGAGTTTCTCTAGGTTGCATGTCATTTTTTCTTACGTTAATGGTCGTATCGTTCATAGAATCTTGAAGGAGGAATGCCGGTTTGAGTCGGTCAATAGAAATCGACGTAGGTCCTCGTGGAGTAAGAATAGTAAACCACTTGTCAGATCGCGAAACCACTTGGTAAGGGCCATCATAGACAGCTTGCAACGGTCTTCGGGATGAATCGTGACGAACAAAAACATGGTTGGATGTTCTTAATTCTGGATGAACAAAGACCTTCTTAGAAGAATGGTATTTGGCTTCTATTGGTTTGAGATCATTCATTTTTCTTTTCAGATTGTACACTAAATCAGGAACATTTGATGAGGTATCTTCTGTAGTTTGAAAAAGATCGCATGGCAATCTGATGGACTGACCTAGTGTCATTTCTGCAGCAGTAACATTGTGTTCTGGAATAATATAAGATCTTAGTCCCAGTAGAACCATTGGTAACGTCTGTGTCCAGTTAGATGTGAGTTGAGCCGTTAATGCAGATTTCAGATGTCGGTGCCATCTCTCGATCTTTCCATTAGCTTCAGGGTGATACGCTGTAGTTTTAATGTGATGGATACCGAGATGTTTTGTTAATTCCTGAAATAAATTGCAGTCAAATTGTCTTCCTCTATCTGTAGTAATGTTTTGAGGAACTCCAAATCTAGCAATCCAGGTAGAAAGAAGAGCTTCTGCAACTGTTCCAGCAGTAATATCCTTGATAGGCGTTGCTTCGACCCATCGTGTAAAGCGATCTATGATAGTTAGCAAGTACGTAAATCCTTGAGAAGGTGGCAAGGGTCCAACTATGTCCACATTAATGTGAGAAAAACGTCCATTAATGTTGTTGTAAGCTCCAATCTCAGAAGTAGTATGTTTCCAAACCTTTGATTTCTGGCAAGCTACACATGCTTTGGCCCAAAGTCTGACATCTTTATTCATGGAAGGCCAAACAAAACGTTGTTTAATAAGGTCCAGAGATCCTTTGATTCCAGGATGTGCCAGGTTGTGAAGGGAGTCAAATAACTGTTTTCTGAACTGCTGAGGAATAAATGGTCGTAGTCTTCCAGTACTTGTGTCACAACACAGCTCTGAGCCATTAGGAAGTAAAATATTTTTTAATATCAAAGAAGTTGTGTTTGAGTACTTAAGGTTTTTAAGTTCAGCATCTTGAGATTGAGTTTCAGAAATTTGTTCAAATGATATAGATGAAGGTAGGTCAATAGCACTTATTCTTGACATGAAATCAGCAGGAATGTTTTGTTTTCCTGGAAGATACCTTATGTCAGTAGTGAACTGTCCAATGAAGTCTAGATGACGCAATTGCCTTGGACTAGATGTATCAGAGGGTTTATTGAAGGCAAAAGATAGAGGTTTGTGATCTGTATATATAACAAAACTTCGCCCTTCAAGGAGATAACGGAAGTGCTTCACAGATAGGTATGCAGCCAGGAGTTCCCTGTCATAGGTACTGTATTTTTTTTGAGTTGTTGTAAGGGATTTAGAGAAAAACCCAAGAGGTTCAAAGTTTCCATTACAAATCTGGTGGAGAGACGAACCTATAGCGAAGTTTGATGCATCGACCATGAGAGCTAAAGGAGCATCAGGAGATGGGTGTGCTAGAAGTGTGGCATTGACTAGCTGGCCCTTTGCATCCTCAAAAGCTTTTTTAGATTCTGAAGTCCAAATTATTTTTCGTTTATCAGACTTATGTGTACCCTTACACAAATCAAATAGTTGTTGCTGAATAGCAGCTGCGTTAGGAAGTGAACTTCTGTAAAAGTTTATAAGTCCAAGGAATCTACGAAGCTCAAGAATGGTTTCAGGAAGTTTGCAACTAACAATAGCTTAAACTTTATCAGGAAGAGGAGAAATTCCTTGTTTCGAAACTGTGTAACCAAGAAAAGAGATCTCAGTCACGCCAAATACGCTCTTTGACGTATTAATATTAATGTGATGCTTATTAAGTCTATCAAAAACAGTTTGCAAGTGATTAATGAGTGAAAATTTAAAAACGTACGTTTTCATGTCCCTGGCCTTTTACTTCGTAGATACTGGATTTTTAGTTTATTATTATGTGTTTTAATATTTTTTGGGACGGGGGCAACATGTTACACACATTTATTTGGTTTTAAATAGGTTCTAGGTATTTTTTTCGTATTTTTAAAGTCACGAAATTCACGACCATGACGTGTCCCTAGGGTACATTTTCCAACATTCATGCTGTTTTTAGACTAATTGTTCATGCCGAAATATATAAAGCCATATTTATATGTCATCAATGGTTATTAAACTTACAAAAAAGGAGCATATTATAATTTTATTGTCATTACAAACTGACTACCATGACAAAATAAGTCTGTCCCTCGATTTGGCGTCACGACCATTTGGGAAAAATTTTCAACTTTGGAGCACGACAGTGGCAAGCCTGGCGTCGATGGAGTCAGTTGGTTTTAGAGACTAGTTCGGGGTGTACGTCAGGATTGTAGTGCCGGTCGTTTCGAGTTGAAAGGAGGAATTACAAGATTAATAAAGGAAAGATTGTGTTTTTTGTAATTTTGGTGTGTCCATGACCGTACGTAGTCATTCGATGAAGTAGACATGGTGTTAATTTTTGTTTATAAGATATTTCAATTGCTAGATTAACGTAGAAGTCCACTTTGTATCCTCGAACATGAGGTGCAGGGCTACCGCCAGAACAGAGCCAAATAACACGTAATTTCACGACCAAAGTTTCACGACCATCGCGGGTTTTTTCACGACCAATCCAGCATTATGGATTATAGTGTGTTTGGTCGTGACAATAACTTTAATATAATTGTAAATTGAACAGTTTAGTTCAATTGAAACACATATTTTTATTATAACTAACAGGATAATTGAAGGATTGTTTAGAAAGATTTAGATTATTCCAGACAATTCACGACCGTACCGCTTGTCCCTGACCATCACGTTTATGATTTCTATCATAAAAATTTCAAAAATTTAAATATCGTCATATTTTAATGTTTTATACACAAAAGAAGCACACCTCTATACAAATATGACGATTTTTCGGATCTCAGGTAAGTTTCTTCGGAGTTATACAAACTTAAAAAGATTTTATTAGCTTTTTTTAAATTTTTTGAGTTTTTTTATTTTTTTCTAGAAAGACCAAATATATCAAAAGCTCAGTGACCTTTTTATTGTATAATGGTCATAAAAGTAAATTAGTTTATAGCAAAACATAGTTATAAAAATAATATTAACTATTTTTAATATTCATTTAAACGTCCGTTATGGTCGTGACAGGATTTTGTGTTTTTCAACTAAAGATGCTCTTTTAAAAAGAAACTACCAAAGATATTGCGTTACCATGGAAATTTTATGAAACTTCAAATGTTAATGAAATAAAAAAAATAATAAAAGTTTTGAAAAAAGGGGAAAAGAATTTGCAAAGTGCTTTTCCTGAAAACGTACGTTTTTAAATTTTCACTCTAATATGTTCATCTTCTGAGGAGGATGCTACTAGAATATCATCTAAGTAACAAAAGGTAAACTCTAGATCATGCAAAAGAGAATTAATATATCTCTGGAAAGTTTGTGCAGCATTCCTTAATCCAAATGGCATTTTTAGAAATTCAAATAATCCAAAAGGCGTTATGACAGCAGTTTTTGGAATGTCATCAGGAGCTACTGGAATGTGATGAAAAGCCCGAACAAGATCAATTTTAGAAAATATAGTTTTTCCATTTAACTGGCTGTTAAAATCATGCAAATAAGGTATAGGATATCTGTCAGGAACTGTTTTTGCATTTAGGGCACGGTAATCCCCACAAGGTCTCCATGTACCATCAGTTTTAGGAACTAAATGAAGTGGACTGGACCAACAGCTTTTTGAAGGTCTGCAAATGCCTAACTCAACCATCTTGTGAAACTCCTTTTTAGCTACCGCAAGTTTTTCTGGAGGTAAACGTCTAGCTCTAAAGTTCACAGGCTGACCTGTTGTCTGAATTGAGTGAAAAACTGTGTCCTGTGAAACTTTAAAATTAGGATTTTCTTTCAGTAAATTAGGATATTGGTTGATAAGTTTTGAGTATTTACCTTTTGGGTCAAGAACAAATACAGATTGTTGATTTGAAAGTTTTTGAATTCCAATAACAGATAATTGAGTCCTGTTATCGATTAGTCTTTTATTTTTGATATCAACAAGTAAACCATAATGTGATAAAAAGTCTGCGCCAATTATGGGTTGGGTTACGTCTGCAACTATGAAAGACCAGACAAACTTTCTTTTCAAGCCTAGATCAAGTTTTATGTCTTGTTTACCGTACGTTTTGATAACAGAACCATTGGCAGCATATAATTGTCTATTACTCACAGCACATTTGTCTTTGTTTGTGAGAGGCAAAACAGATATGTCTGCTCCAGAATCCACGAGAAACTTACGACCACAGGGTAAGTTGG